TCTCTCTCTCTCTCTCTCTCTCTCTCTCTCTCTCTCTCTCTCTCTCTCTCTCTCTCTCTCTCTCTCTCTCCATCCCTCTGAGGAGGCCAGTGACGTCCAGCCAGTCATCTTCATCCCTTCTCATCTCTCCCATCCCTGCAGCCAGGCGGTCACATCGGATGCGTAGACACCACCACCATCCACACCGACATCACAAGCCCCGCAAGGAGCACAGAAAACACAAGAGACATCCAGCGGAAGACTGGGAGAGAGATGAAGGGGATTTCTGCTAAAGATCCAGACTAGTCAAGCACAAGCTCCTGTACCTCCTCCAGAGCATTCCCCCGGAGACCCAGAACCCAGACAACCACCAGAGAGAGAGTGGGGACACTCCGGAGCCCCACACCCCTGCGGTCGGTCCTCTGTACAAAGCTCAGATTGCTCTCTTCTTCCTTACTGAGGTCCTCCTGGTGGTAGTGGCTGGGCCTGAGAGGTCACTCTGGTCTGGCTGAGCCTCTTGGATTACTTCCCAGCCATCAGAGGGGGTCCCGAAGTCTGCATCAATGAGGAGCAATAGTATGTCTGTGTGTGCTGGAGAGTGGCTTTCACACCAGAGATTCAGGCTTAGTAAACAGTGGACCATCCTGAATCTGTGGTGAAGCCTTGGCTAAAGTCCCTGTATTTGAGTGGAGGACCAGCAGAGCAAATGTGATGGTCTGTCATCCCCTCGAGTCCCCCAGGGCGGGCTTCTTCCCCGCTGGCTTTCTTTCTTTTTTTTTCCTTTCTTCTTCCTCCTCCCTCCCAATGCCAAAACCCTCAACCCCCAAACTAGGCTGGCCTTGAACTCACTGTTGTAGAAGGATGTCCTTGAAGTCTCAATCCTCCTGCCTCTGCACCACCAGGCCTACCTGGTTTATTTGGTGCTGAACACAGAACCTAGTACTGGGCAAGTGCTCTCTCTACTAACCATCCCTGCTCTTTGGTCTTGGTGCAGACTACTAAATCTCGTGTGGAACTCTCATGTACCGAATTTTAGTGATGTTTCTTAGAGCCACTGGCCTCCTTGGCTTCCTAGGGGAGGTTACTCAAAGCGATGGGGGTGGGGAGGGTTAGTGTATTGCTGACTCCCCAGGTCTAGTGTAGCACTGAGATCTGGTGGTTCTATTTTGGGTTGTTTTTGTTTCGAGGCGGGGCCTCACTGTGCAGCCCTGGCTGGACTGGAACTTGCTATATAGACCAGGCTAACCTGGAACTCAGCGATCTGTCTGTCCCTGCCTCTCAAGTTACTATGGCCAGCCTTCGTTTGTTTTATAGACAGGATTTCCAGAGCCTACACTGGGTTTCAGCCCACAGCAATCATCCTTTCTCAACCATGTAAGAGCTGAGGTGACAGGCATACGCCGTCGTCATGTGTGGCAGTTTCGTGGGTTTGTAATGACAAATCTCCCACAGCCATGTGTACAGAAGTGAGATCAGTGGAGCAGAATGTGCTGAATGCTGCTGTATTCGTCCCCTCCATCTCTCAGGGAGACAGACAACCTTCTGCCTGGACCAAGATGGTGCCATGTTTTCTAACCCAGAGCCTGTCTTTACTAAACCCTTTCAGCAGACCTCAGTAAGTCTCCTGCCTCAGATCCCATCCCTGCCCCACCCCACTTTTGTTTCCTCATCCTGCCTGACAGACTTAATGCTTGCAGTGTTTGTGTTCCTATGGCAGAGAGAAGAGTGCTCTTAGAATCAACACACACACACACACACATACACACACACACATACACACATACACACACACACACACATACACACACACATACACACACAGACACACATACACATACACACACACAGACACAGACACACACACAGACACACACTCAGACACACATACACACACACACAGACACACAGACACACACACACACACATAGACATCTCCCTAGTTTTACATTTTTTTTAAATGTGAAAGAATCCACTTTGCATTCCCTCTTCTCATCTGCACCCCAGAAAAGACTTCCCAAGCCAAGGGCAGGGTCCCTCCCTCAGAGATTTGCCGACAGAGCCCATGCAGTCTGGGTAGAGTCTGTGAATTTGTGTTAAAACCACAGTGGAGCTTGAGGTCAGGCCTGTGGGTAAAGATCAGGCTAGCTGCACAAGCCTGGAGAAGTCAGTTTAATCCCTGGAACCCATGTGTAAAAATGAAAAGCCTGATAGGGTGGTGTGAACCCCAATCCCAGCATTCCTGTGGTGAGAGACTACAGGAAGCTTGTGAGCCAGCTGGCCTGGAGGATGAGGCATGGCAGAAACAAGTGGAGGGTCACAGCCAGCTCCTAAAGGCCAGCATTTGACCTCCACTGCACACTGCAGTGTTGGTGAACCCCCCAACACATGCACAGCCCCCACACATACACACTGCACACTGCAGTGTTGGTGAATCCCCCAACACATGCACACCACACCACACACACACACACACACACATACACACACTGCACAAGCACAAAGTAAATAAATAAAAATTTCGAAAATGATAGGAGCGGGTGGGGGGGGGTGGGGTGGGGTGGGGTGGGGCAGGGATGAGTGCTTAGACAGATCTGCACAGGTTCTGGGGTCCATGCCCAGCTCTTCCTAAGTAAGTGTTTACTGAGCCTGCATCCCTCACAGGAGGTAATGAAAGCCTGGGGCAGTTACTGAACAGAAGCCATGTAAAGCCTGTGAGATGCCTTTGAATCCTCTCAGCAGCCCACATGGCCCTTAAGTCTCCCATCTTACACATGATGGCAAGAGAAAAACAATTACAGACTACCTAGGAGAGCCAGAGGAAGAAATTTCCTTCCGTGCATCATAATTACTGTAAGGTGTTTTTGTTTTTTTGTTGTTTTATTTTCTTTAGACAGGGCCTCAGGCTGGCCTTGAATTCACTGGTTAGCTGAGAATAACCTTAAAGTCCTGATCCTTCTGCCTCAGTTTCCCAAGTGCTGGAATGGCAGGTGTCCACTATGACTGGTGTATGCAATGCTAAGATGGAACCCAGAGTTTTATGCATACTAAGTAAATCTTCTACACGTGAGCTCCAAGCACTCTATCAACTGAGCTCCAAGTACTCTGTCAACTGAGCTCCAAGTACTCCGTCAACTGAGCCCCAAGCACTCTGCCAACTGTACTTCAAACACTACCAACTTAGCTCGATTCCCAAACCCTGGTCTTGAATTGTGCTCCAAATTTTGCTTTATGTTTAAAGGAAGAGCTCTAAACTTCTTACCTGCTGTCACACACACATGGGGTCGTGGTCTGCTATAGCCTGGCCTACCAGGGGCATGGCCTGCTGGGGCTCCGTGGTTGTTCCCAGCCTGCTCCATGAAGGGTGTGCTTTAGGCTTTTCTGGACTGGAGGCTCCTCTTCAGCCTGTCCCTCCCTGGTGTGTGTGTGCTCAGGCCACAGTTGTGGGAAGACCATGAGTGTGTGAGTGTGAATGGCTACAGACACTACTGGGGTGTTTTTCTGGGAGATTTGATGTTCTGTGGATCTGTGATATCTGACACTGTGGATGTTAATGTACTTCTTGGACATTTTAATAAATTTTTTTAACAGTTCAGCTTGTCTGTGGCCCCTGAGACGGTCCGTCACCCGTTTGCTTGCCTAGTTACTCAGTGAGGGCCTGTGTTTCTTTGACGTGATGAGTCATGTAACCCAGGCTGGCCCAGAATTCCCTATGTATCTGAAGATGATCTCGAACTCCTGATCAGTTTTTCATTTTATTTTGTTTTTGAGACAGGGTATATGCCTCTGTCTACCCACTGCTGGGATTAAAGGAGTGAGCTGCCATGTTTGTTTTATGGGGTGCTAGGAGAGCACTTTGTGAACTGGGGTACAAACACTCATCAAATGAGCCACAGCCACGGGCCCTGAGCCCTTATTAGGAGCCACACGCTGTGTGGGGTCCGAGGAAAAGTAGGCCATTGCAGGAGAAATAGAAGGAATCTTTTCTGTTCTTTCTTCTTTCTTTCTTTCTTTCTTTCTTTCTTTCTTTCTTTCTTTCTTTCTTCTTTTTTTCTTTATTTTCCCCTTTTCCCCCCAGAGTCTCACTGTGTGTCCCAGGCTGGCTTTGAACTCAAGATCTTCCTGCACCAGCCTCAGGGATGCCACCAGGTCCCAGGAGTACACCTGCATGGCAGAGGACAGGTAAGGTGGGTGGAATGGAGGCGTAACATGAGTTGGACTGGGAGGGAAGACATGGCCACAGTTTTGGACAAAGAAGAGAAAAGACTAAAGTCATCCTGAAGAAAAACATGATTTATTTGAAATCAGCATTGAGGAGTTGGCAAGATGGCTCTGCCAGAGAGGGTGCTTGTGGCTAAGCCCGATGGTTTTAGGTCAGTTCCCTGGACCCACATGGTAGAAGTAGAGAACCATAAGGGGACCATGAGGTGAGTCCTGTCCTCCTACCAGAAAATAAAGTTACACACACACGCACTGTGTGTGTGTGCATGCAAACACGTAGTGTAAAGAGAGACAAAACAAGGGGGCTGGCAGCATTTGTCACTCTGCTTCCTTCCTGTGGGCACGGAGTGACCTGAGGGCCCTGCCATCATGACATTCCCACTGTGACAGACAGTATCCTCGAACTGAGAGTCTAATCCCCCCTCCTCTAATTTGCTCTGTCAGGCAACTGGTCACAGAGAGAAATGTAAGCAAGGCACACACACCTCCAGATAAGAATCAGAGCAGTATCGTGAGTCCCTCTTTCCAGGGCTGCAGAGGTGGAGGCAGGAAAACCAGCCTAGGCAACAAGCGAAAGCAGGAGAAGAAAACAAACACATACCACTGGCGCAGATATGAGCTGCCTGCCAGAGGCTCAGAGTTAGAGAAGTAGCTAGCTATTGACTGATAGCTTTACTCTGTAGCTCAGGCTGGCCTCAAGCTCACAGCAGTCTTTCTACCTCAGCCTATGAGTGGGAGGATAAGAAGCTGAGTGGTAGCAACACATGACTTTAATCCCAGCATTCTGGAGGCAGAGCCGAGTAGATTTCTGAGTTCAAAGCCAGCCTGGTCTTACAAAGTGAGTTCCAGGACAGCCAAGGCTACACAGAGAGATTCTGTGTCAAAAAACCAACCAACCAACCACCACCACCACCAAAGAAATGGTCATCGGAGCCACAGTACAGATGTGGAACTCAAAGACAGCCTGGGGTCAGCTCTCTCCTTCCATATGGCAGTCCCACTGATCAAACTCAGGTCACCAGGCTCAACGACAAGTGCCTCTACCCATTGAACCATCTTGCCAGGCTCTGAGGTGGCCATCCATCAAGACAGCAGGGACTGCTGCCAGCTATGTAACCCTCCCCATGTGCAGCTGGGGACAGTTGTACACAGAGGACGGAGGCATGTGCTCCAGTTGCCCGGCGTGATGAGGGGCACACACCAGAGTGGGAGATGGCAGAGGGCTTTTCTTGGGGAGGAGGGGTGTTTTATTTTTTTGAAACAGGGTCTCACTACATAACCTTAACTGGCCTGAAAACCACTCTGTAGAACTGTAGCTCTCAACCTTCCTAATGCTGTGACCCTTTAATACAGTCCTCATGTTGTGGTGACCCCCAACCATAAAATTAGTTCATTGCTACTTCATAACTATAATTTTGCTACTATTATGAATTGTAATCTAAATTTCTGATATGCAAGAGACCTGCTGTGACTCCCCCAAAGGGGTCGAGACCCACTGCTGTAGACCAGGCTGTCCCTGAATTCAGAAAGCCACCTGCCTCTCAGAGTACTAGAAGGTGTGCACCCCCTGTTTATTTGGGGAGAGGGATTGGGACATTAGGATAGCACGTATCCTGGTGGGATTGAATTTCTAAATATTTTCAACCCCTGAAGTGGGGTCCAACTTCTGGGTTTTCTTTTGCATGTAAAGTTTCATATTTTCATTGGATGAAAGCAAAGGGGATGGAACCACCCTTCCGGCTCAGTCAATAATGGTATGGCCCATTTCCCAGAGTATCCTTGATCGGTCCAGGACTGCATGAATGGCAACCACCGAGAGTTGGCTCCTGTCTCTGACCGCTTGTACATGCCCACACCCCCACACACTAAAAGTCAGTGAATAAAAAAAGTTTACAAACAAAAACTCGGGGGCTAGAGAGATGGCCTGGTTGACTAAGATGACTCGCTGCTCTTCCAAAGGACTCAGATTCAAGTGTAGCAGGGCGGCCATCTCTAACTCTAGTTTCAGAGGGTCCAGCTCCCTCTTCAGGCCTCCAAGGTCACCAGGCACACAAAGTGAAGACAAATAACTTAAAAATAAATAAGAACTGGCCAGGCGGTGGTGACTCAGGCCTTTGATCTCAGCACTTGGGACAGGCAGATCTCTGAGTTCAAGGCCAAGCCTATGTAGCAAGTTCCATGACAGGGAGGGTTAAACAGTGAAATCCTGCCTCAAAAAACTGAAGTAAATAAACAAAAACACAGATGGTTACCTCACTTCTGCAACCAGATCCTACTTACCATTTTTAAATTACATGTTGCTATGATTACTATGTAAGCACACAAGCCACAGAGCACATGAGGAGGTCAGACAGGATCTCATAGGGTCCTGACACCTGGTAAACTGTTCTGCCTTCCTGTGTTCAGGTTGGGAGCATTGA